TTTCCTGAGGTGTCCGCTTCATCCTGCCTGGCCAGGGCAGGTGAATATATCACAATCAGGAATATCACCTTCACTTACTTCGAAATTATCACGATCGGATTTCTACTGTATTAAATTATATTCTATTAGCAAGACACTTACACTATCAGATCAGATTTTTTTTTCAATCTATGTTGGGCATGTACACCTTTTATGACACTTTGGACTTCGGTTTATGTCGAGAATCGGCTAAACCATAGCTCTGATACCATTAAATATAACACCCCCAACTCGTACCCGACCCGGATACGAGTCCGAGTGTCACATTGACTTTTCAAACATTTATTCGTAAATAGTGAGTAATTTAAAAAAAAACTTTGATAACATTTAACTTATTCAAAACGTTTACAAAATATATCAGAGTTCATACAATTATATCTTTAGACTACATGCCAACTACACTCTATATACAGTACCTATATTTCTGATCTGACATTTGGTAGGAAAACTGACATGTCTTGCTCCGCATTACTCTTTACTCTTCTCGAAACCTACGTGTGAACAATCACACGCTAAGTCGAAGATTAGAGGCATAACAACTTATGCACTTTATAACATATCAATATGCATGTTCTGTTCTATCATGTTATACCAATTCCATGCATTCTCGTATCATATAAAATATATCAGATTAATTACAGTAAATACATACATACACATATTCATCATTAACAGTTTATCATGTAATCACATACTTTTATGGTAACCTTTTCAATCAAACACTATACACACAACATCATATCATTTCATAACATTTATACCACTATATATTTGTTCATATCTCTGGATTAGCCCATGTACATATGTGAGAACTATCGATATGTGAGTCTATAGAGGTTGTGCACTAATGTGTCACCACAGCTCGTATAATTGCACCGAAGTGCCGCGTAGAATTGCACCGTAGTGCATATAATAATGTCCATAAGGACCACATATTATTCCTTAAGAATCATATACATATACTAGGGATCAAGTATGTGTCTTCAAGACTTCACATGTTCCACAGAATATATATATATCCCGAAGGACCGCGTAGAATTGCACCGTAGTATAATAATCCATAAGGACCACATTATTCCTTAAGAATCATATACATAACTAGGGATCAAGTATGTGTCTTTCAAGACTTCACACATGTTCCAAAGAATATACATATGTCCCGAAGGACCGTGTAGACCCTCGACTTGGCATGCCAACTATACCCCTAGCTCATGACACATAACATGGGCGTTATCATTTATTTCATTTCAAATATTCACATAAAACTTGTAATTCACTTTCACATATCACGTATCACATAGCTTCTTTTCATATTATCACATAGTCACATAGTTCACTTACGTAGATCATTTCCATATAATTCACATGTCACATATATCATGTTTTCATATTTCTATCATTTCTCACCCAATCACATTTATTCATGTAAACATATCATATCTTGTTCACATAAGATCATATACTTCATACATATAGAACACCTAGAACACTTTCACGTAGCTTATATCAATTTTCAGAGTCCTTTCATATACCTGATGACATATATCATATAGATTATAATAACTGATATCATATTATCTACCTTATGCTCCATTTCTTTGTATTCCCTTTTTCATAGCAGCATACATTAAATATTCTTATATGTCCTATCAATATCCTATAAACTTACTCATATTCTCATATATCATATTTAATATAATTTGTATAGTAATACTCTATAATTGTATCATATAATGATTTTACCCAATTACTCCTTTATAAAGTTTATATTACATGTTCAATTAGTCTCATGCTATCTTATAAATAATTTCCATTTATTTATATCATTTTCCTTTTCCACTCACATAAACCATCTATTATTTAGTTCCATTTCTCATGACTTCCCAATATCTTTAATAAACTTTGTAGCTCTTCACTATAATACATAAACCATAGTTTCCTTTAATTTATCAATCTTCCCTATATTACTTTTGTATCCTTATTATGCCCTCGAATTCATACTATTCTCTTAGAGTCTCCTAACATTTCTCGTATAATCACTTATCATATAAATTATACTTGATTATTATGTCTCGTTCATTTCATTTCTTATGACTCTATCATATAAACTTATCTCATGTTCTTCCATTATTACATATTAAAGTCTTACATACATCATATAGAATATACAGCAATCATTATCTTTAGTCATGCATAATACAATCAATGTAATACAGATAATCGCATATAATTATAACCACACATAATCATGTCCATGACTTCATGCATATTACTCTAGGAAATAGACTCATCGCAAGTCTTATTTTCATTAAACACTACATATCACTAGTATGCACTCACCTTGCCTCACTAGTCCATTCCAATCTCTTATCTTCCCTTGATCGATCTTACTTGCAAATGTTCCGGAATTGCTTTACGCGCAGAATCTACATAAATGTACATTTTGAGGCAATTATTAGATACCTACACCTTGTAATTGGATACTAGCAACTTAAACGAACTTATTAAACCAATATTCCCATTTTTCCTTTAGGGGGAATCGATCGGTTCCCTACTAAGGGGGTATCGATTCCCTCATGACATTCTGGAAATTTTGTTCGTTTGAAGGGGTATCGGTTCCCCTTGAATGGGTATCGATTCCCCTTGCCCAGAAATCATATTTTCAACCCGAAAATTACTTCATTTCCTCTCAAACACTTCATATATCATCCCCTTTTTCATTCTTAACTCTAGTACACATACTTAAACCAATCTATATTCATTTATTTCATCTTAAACCTCAAAATCCTATCTTCCATATGAGATTCAAGAATCATACCAAATTTTCAATGTGTTCTAATTCCAATTCTAACACTTCATACTTCTTAATTAGATTGATGACAAGTCAAATTCATCCATAAAACTCAACAACCATACCATATCAAAATTTCATCTTAAAACTCATATTGCAAATTCCTTCATAATTCCTTTATCTTATTGTTTAAATCCCATATAAGCTTTCCTTAAGCTTATTTAATACCCAAAGAATCAAAACTAAGCTTAAAACTCAAGAATTAACCAACTGAAATTAAACTTACCTTTGCCTTGCTCTCCCACGTATGAAGAAGAAGAAAGGAGAAGAGAACTCTGGATGTTTCTCACATTTCCCACGTTTATATTACCTTTAAAAGAAATATAAAAATCTTTTGGTCAAATGACCATTTAACCCTTAATTTCCTTTAATAATTACTAAATAACCTTCATCATATATATATCCAATAATCATTGAACTATTTCATTCTTATACTTTAGTCACCAAATTCTGAAACTTTACAATTTGGTCACTAACCCGGTATTGAGGATGTTACAGATATCCTTGCTCTCGCAGCTCGTGATTCTGTAGTTATGGTAAAATTTTTTATGATTCATTTGGATATAAATACGTGATAAAGTTGTTTCGGTTTCGAGTCATTAACGATTATTGCTAACAATGTACGCAGACCGGTGGTGCTAGTTGGGCAGTGCCTATGAGGCATCGAGACGGAACAATTTCACGGGCATCTGACACCGGCAATTTGTCGGGCTTCCATGATACCGTCGATGTACAAAAGAGAAAATTTTTAGACAAGGGTCTCAACACTCAAGATCTTGTCACCCTTGTCGGTAAGCAATTGTTCCGAACAACTATATAAACCCTTGTAAGTGTGATAAGATCTTGAGAGTCTGAACACTCAAGATCTTGTCACACTTATTTAAACCTTAGTCCTCTCTTTTTTTTCTTATATTTTAGAATCTGATTTTTCACTCCTCCCTGTTATACATAACTTACACTTCAAGTATCAAACTGCAGGACACACACGGTAGGAACCAGTGCTAGCCAATTCTTCAGTTATAGGCTGTACAACTTTACATCAACCGGACCCGATCCTTTGATCAATCCCGCATTCGTCTCCCAGCTTCAAGAGCTTTGCCCTCAGAACGGCGACGGGTCACGAAGGATCGGGCTCGACACTGGCAGCGCCAATAGATTCGACAATTCGTACTTTGCAAACTTGAGGGACGGCTAGGGAATACTCGAATCCGATCAGAGATTATGGACTGACGATTCCACCAAGACGTTTGTACAACGTTTCTTGGGCGTCAGAGGCTTGCTCGGCTTGACCTTCAACGTGGAATTCGGAAAATCCATGGTGAAGATGAGCAACGTCGAAATGAAAACGGGAACTGCTGGTGAAATCCGCAAAGTTTGCTCTAGAATTAATTAACTGAAGCAAAATCTTAGCGATGTAAGGTTATTATATAAAACTTTTAAGTCTTGTTGTATTTTTATCCAAAAACACAATCATTTAGGATAAGATTTGTCTTGTCTCTTGTTAAGTTGTAACTTTCTTATTTTTCTCCAAAACTCAATCATTAAGGACAAGATTCGTCTCTTGTTAAGCTGTAGCTTTCTGAACTCTATAAAGAGTTAATCGTGCCATGCATTCTTAAACTACTAGTTTTATTTAAGTTTGATTCTTTCAATTTTATCTTTAAATTATGATTTTTATTTTAAATTAATCTTTAATTCCTTTAACATTTTAACTTTATCTCCAAACTATCAGTATATGATAATCAAGTCCTTTAATAATAAAATTAATACAAAAATTATAATTGTTATATAAATATTGATGTGTATTATGTAATGTGAGAGAGGAGCCATTAAGGGTGGAGATGTGAGACAAGTGAGCGGCAATGAGATTTGTATTAAGAATTAGGATTAGAATACAAATAATAAATAACCATGAAATATGATTTTATTTTAGAAAAATGAATTATAATACTTGGGATAGTCCATGGCATCAGAGGGTTTTTATACTAAAAAATACAATCTTGCTGTATTAACAAACTAATTACTGATTAAAAAACTTCTAATTAATAACTTTTGAGACATGGTATAATATTAATTTATTTCGAGAATCTTACCAAGTCCATTATTTTCCTACATTAGCTTTTTGCTAGTTTTTAATTTTCTTTACAACCCAAGAGCACCGAGGGGTGTCTTTCCTTGTCCAGCTTCCAAGTAGAAAATCAACATGGCCAACATCGCAATCCTAGCATGCTTAATCTCAGCCACCTGAAGTCTCTCGAGCTTGTCGTAATCGGGGATGTATTCACCGTTCTTGATGGTTCCCGCGAGTCCTAACGGGTCGAAGAACTTGCCTCCCGGGTAACCTTGCTGCCCGGTGGAGTTGGCAAAGTTCTCGGCAGTCTTCGACCACGGAGTGGCCCAGTCCACGGATTGAGATTGCGGGTTGAAAAAGTCTACCCATCGCTTGCTCTCGACCCAGCCCATGAGGAGGAGTTGGGTTCCGAGAAGTGAGCCGAATGAGAATGGGGCTATTGCACCCGGGTCGGCTCCGGCCTCGAACCATGGTATGCCACTCCATGCTTGGCCTATGAAGATGCCGACAACGGCGGTCATGGCCCAACGCCCGTGGATCAGCTCAGCTTCCCTGTACCATCTCAGGAAAACTGGGTCCTTACCTAGTCCTAACGGGTCGAATCCGTAATCTCCAGGAAGCCTGTAATTTGAAAATCAAGATCAAAGTAGAATTATTTAGTGACTTTTAGACCATCGATTTGATTAATAATAAAATTCATCTTCAATCTAAAATCATTTCAAACGAACTAAAATTCGATCAAACTTCTATTGATTAATTCAATTCAAATCGAAGAATACGTACGATCCATCGAGCCACTCGGGGTCAACTAAGTTGCCACCACCTCTAACCCCAGGGAGCCAAGACTTCTTAGCCGGTGCAGCCGCTACGACAACCAACTTCCTCTTTCCGGTTGCAGGGGTTACCACCCTGGCTCCATTACTAGCACCCCAAAGGGCCTGCACCCTCTTTCCTGCACACAGAAATGAAGATCCTAAACCATTTATTACAGCTCCAGATGTTGAAGACATTTTTGTAATGGAAATGGGCAGTTGATGTTCTGCTGCTTTAAAATTGTCTGGAGAAATCTAGAGAGGATTATTTTAGATTTAAAATCCATTAACATCTCCAACTTGCTTCCAACCACGTGGACTTCGCCACTTTGCATCTTCTGTTTTGTCTTTTTGACACGTTCCAAACTATTTGGATTTTGGATTCATCTTAAATAAATAAATATTTTCTTTTTAAAAAAATGATTTGATATAGTCTTTTCCGTATTAGTTTATATTTTTTGTATACTATAATTTAATCGACTCCATGTTCTATATTTTTTAAATTTTAAAAATTTAGTTCTACTCAGAAGGGTGTATGAATAATATTATTAAATTGTAAAGACTAAAATGATTAACGAATAAGAACTAAATATAAAACTCACGTATATTGTTTAGGTCATGATTAAAATTTTGAATTTTGAAAGATACGACTAAAAATGACTAAATTAGATAACATGGATTAAATCTAGGCGAATTTCCCGAAAAATTACCCTTATAATTATTATTTGTCAAACATCGTTTAGACTTTATTTTTCGATTTAACACCCTTTGCAGGAAGGCGCGACCCTTGTACCGCGCCTTACGTTGATATGGCACCACGTGGGGTAAGGTGCGCCTAGAGGTGGGTATATGGGCTAAGGCCCGTGGGCTACCCGTTTAACCCGCGACCCGTGCAGGTTTTGGACATCAAAAACTGAAGCTCGTTTAAATTGCAGGTTTAATGGGTATAACCGCGGGTAGCCCGCGAAGCCCGTAATAGCCCGCTTAATTTAAAATTTATAAAATTTTAGAGGAAATAAACTTAAAAAAAATTATGGAAAAAGAAAATAAATTAACTATAAATATGATGTTACTTATAACCATTGTAGTTCTTAAATTTATTAGGGCATTTGTCATAATTCTACCACTACTTGATATTTTTTTTTCATTTACAATGTATCAAATTATTCTTCATTTTAAAAAATAAAAATTAAAAGATTTATATAGTATTTTAGTCTTATAGAATTTACATCATTATCACTTTGGTATTTAAAGATTTTTTTTATTTAATTTTGACTTTTATTTTTTCATGAAGTATGTTATTCATTTTGTTCTTTACCTATAAAAAGTCATGTGATATTCTAATAATATATCACATGACACGTAATATTTGGATTAAAAATAAGAAAGAAAAGTAAAAGAAAAAAATTGAAAACATACTTTTCAACTTTTAAAGGCTTTTACAAAAGAAAATTTGTTAGATTTGTATAATATTTGACTTTGTTAAATTTTTCTATTTGAATTTCTGCTTGCAGACACTTCTGTGTCTTCATATTATAGAATTGAATAATTGTGTTTTATAAAAATATAATGTTGTTATTGTTTTATTTGTTTTTAAATTTGGTGATATAAGTGAATATTGTTTTTTTTTAATTTGAGTTTAAGTAATTATATCGTTATATATATTAATGATTAAAAAAATTTAAAAAAATATTATTTTATAATCATTTACGGCTATTTAAAATAAAATTTAAATATTATTTAATTTTTTACGGTGCTACCTTCCTTTTCAAGTTAATGGACCATTTTTAAAGGTGTAGAAAGTTAGAACATTTTTTTTATTGCATTTAAAGTATTTAAAATTATTTTTATTTAACGGGCTGCGGGTAAGCCTGTTTAACCCGAGAGTTAAATGGACGGGCCGCGGGCCTTAGAATTCAAAACAGTGTATGTATGTGGGCTTTTTAAACTGCTCTGTTTAAGCCCGCACCGTCAAAACCCGCGGGCTAAACGGACGGGTAGCCCGTATACCCACCTCTAGGCGCGCGCCCTGAAGCGCACCTTGTAAAAAGTGTAAAAACCTCGGGTATTAATTTTTTAAATATTTTTAAAATGATGCCTCATATGTAATTAATTTCTATTACGGTGATATTTGTGTAAAACCATCAACTTTATATATTTATTTTTTGTGTGTGAAAAAAAAATTTATACATTAAAATCTTCAAATATTCTTTTGCAAATTATTTTATAACTCGATAAATTTTTATTTTTACATGAAATTACACAATACGTATAATCTAGTATAGAAAACTTTAAGAGTAAGTATTTTAAAATATGAATAGTTTTATAAAAGTTTTATAACTAATATTTCTTTTACAAAATGTTGATGATGATGATGATAAATATTTTATAATTTAAAAAATTATAAATTTCATATATTTTGAAAATTTATTGACTTTTAAAATTAATTGTTTAAAAATATAAAAATATCAAAATAAATTTTAATTACAATTGAGGAAACAAATGAATTATTATTCATTAATTATTATTTTTTAACAACAGTTGATAATGTTTATTCATTTTTAATAAAATTATTTTGATTTTTGCATGAAATTACACAATATGTATAATCTAGTATAGAAAAACTTTGAGAGTAAGTATTTTAAAATATGAATAATTTTATAAAAGTTTTATAAATAGTATTTTTTTACAAAATGATGATGATGATAAATATTTTATTATTTAAAAAATTATAAATTTCATATATTTTTGAAAAAATTTATTGACTTTTAAAATTAATTGTTTAGAAATATAAAAAATATTAAAATAAACTTTTAATTACAACTGAGGGATTAAATGAATTATTATTCATTAATTATTATTTTTTAATAATAGTTGATAATGTTTATTCATTTTTAATAAAATTATTTTTATTTTTATTTTATATTTTTTAAAATTAATATTAAAAAAATATTTTAAATAAAGAGGTGATATTTTTTAGCTTTGCATTCTTTTTTTATTGAATTTTATTCACTTTTAATTATTTTTTATTGTATTTTTATTGATTTTTTAAAAAAATGAATAATAATTCATTTGAACTTTCAATTGTAATTAAAAGTTTATTTTAATATTTTTATATTTTTAAACAATTAATTTTTAAAGTCACTAAAAATTATTAATGGTTGTTAAAAAATAATATCACACAAAAAATAAATAAAATTATTTTGATTTTATATTTTTTAAAATTAATATTAAAAATAATATTTTAAATAAAGAGGTGATATTTTTTAGCTTTGCATTCTTTTTTTATTGAATTTTATTCACTTTTAATTATTTTTTATTGTATTTTTATTGATTTTTTAAAAAAAAATGAATAGCTTTGCATTCTTTTTTTATTGAATTTTATTCACTTTTAATTATTTTTTATTGTATTTTTATTGATTTTAAAAATGAATAATAATTCATTTGAACTTTCAATTGTAATTAAAAGTTTATTTTAATATTTTTATATTTTTAAACAATTAATTTTTAAAGTCACTAAAAATTATTAACGGTTGTTAAAAAATAATATCACACAAAAAATAAATAAAATTATTTTGATTTTGATTTTATATTTTTTAAAATTAATATTAAAAATAATATTTTAAATAAAGAGGTGATATTTTTTAGCTTTGCATTCTTTTTTTATTGAATTTTATTCACTTTTAATTATTTTTTATTGTATTTTTATTGATTTTTTAAAAAAATGAATAATAATTCATTTGAACTCTCAATTGTAATTAAAAGTGTATTTTAATATTTTTATATTTTTAAACAATTAATTTTTAAAGTCAATAAAAATTATTAACTGTTGTTAAAAAATAATATCACACAAAAAATAAATAAAATAAAGTTGGCGTGTTTGTACAAATATCACCCTAATAGAAATTAATTACATATAGCCTTCTGTCAAGTGGTGTAAGGCGCAGTGCAGAGATCGCGTCTTCCTGCAAAGGGTATTAGATCAAAAAATAAAGTTTAAACGGTGTCTGACAAGAAAATAATAATTATAAAGGTGATTTTTCGAGAAAATCGCGTTAAATCTATAATATAAAAATAGCATAAGAAAGAGATAACAACGAGTGAGTAGAATGTGTTTTTGATTAAATCGAACCCGATATAATATAATCTTAATAAAATCTAACCTATGTTTAAATATAATTATATTCATCCCATATTTAATATAAAAGTTTAATTGAAAATATGACTATGTTCATTTAACGATTCAGAAATATTCAACGTATTTTACCTCTTAATAGTAAATATAAAATTATATAATATAACACTAATTTTAATTTATTTATTATGACCCAATCAAACTACTCAATCTTATTATAAGTTGGGCCTAAGCATAAAAGTGAGCTCATATTTTTGTCAACGTCAAATTAAGATGACAATAATGATAAATTACATCATAAGTCACTTGATTATTAATAAGAATACAAACAGGTTATCTATTACAAAAAGTTACAAACAAGATTAAGGTTCAAAATATTCAAAAGCTTTAGAATAATTTTATGACCTTTGAGAGAGGCTCTTAGAAATCCAATATGATGCATTTGATAAGAAGGTTAATGTGAATTTTACGGGGGCATTTAAGGTTCATCGACCATCATATATAACGATTGGACCGTCTGAATTTATTATTTCGATTTAAATTTGAATTCATCAATAATATAGATAATAAACAACTTTATTGATTTCCCACCGATCTCATTGTTCCATGGCATTGGAACTATTCATCTTTTCATTTCAAACATGAAACCTACCCCACAACCACTCAACAAAAGCCTAATTTGGTGGTGGGCGGCGGCTTACACATGATGTTTTCCAGCAAAATCATAAACAATGTTGGGAGAGAAATGGGTCGACAAATTTTCAAAATCTAAGCATCTTTAGGACAACTTCAATTATTTGTTTGACAAATTTCATAATATTCCATCACTATTTGAAATAAAATATCGTTTAACATTGTGTTACAAAAGCTCTCGTCGAAGAAGAATTTGAATTTGGAGATACCGTGGTAATAGAACAAAATGGATTAAGAAATCAATCCTATGATCAGTTTTTATAATTTTCGATCTGGATTAATTAATCATAATTTTTTTTAATATAATTATATATTAATGTCACAATTTTTTTTAAATACTTTTTAAATTTAAATTTTTTTATTTTAATTTTATCATTAACCGTTATAATATTTTAAAGTTCGTAAATTAGAACATTTGTAGCAATAAACAAAGGGGTCCCTCTAAAACATGTAGTGCGAGCATCTGCAATGATAATTTCCCGTTGGCATGCACACACCCTGAGAAGGGAAAAGTGTTTTTTTCATCATATTCTTTTTGCTACAAAAAGTCACGACCATGATGTAATAATTGTTTTAATCTTCAAAATTTATATAATCTATTAGTTTAATTTTAATTTGAAATAATTCAATAAATTTAATTTAATCTATCATATTTAAAAAAATTATCATTTTAGTCTTTATTTGTCTCGTTTGTTTATGGCATAATGTACTTTTTCAAATATTGTTTTGATCCAGTGGATTTGCTTAGTTTGACAGTATCATAAAAAGATACTAAATTGACAGAATTATTTAATTATGAAGAATTTGATTTAGGATAAAATTGATAGAATGTATAAGTTTTGAGGACTACAAATGTTATTATATCGGATCACGTTTTGCAGCAATGAAGTGACTTGTTTATAATAATTTCTTCTGTTATTTATATATTGAAGAATATTGAACGTTTAAACGTGTTTGAAATCATGTTTCGATGCATGTTGCAATAACAATGACACTACTTTTTGTGATATTTTTAGAGATGATTGTATATAAGATTTCCAAATTATGACCTTCATTATAAACTAGTCACTAAACTTTAAAACGTTATATATGAGTCTCCAAACTATGACTCACATTCTAAGTAAGTCTCTAAAATTTAAATATTTTATGTAACTCAAATTACTAGTATCATTCTATTTTGGTCATTCTGTTAGCATGTTGTTAACTCTAGTAGTTAAAAAATAATATATTTTTATGGTCATAGTGTGACCTAAAAATTCTCAAGACCTTCAAAAACATATTTATTTTTTTGGAATGACACAGGTTGATTCTCAAGACCTTCAAAAATAGATTTTCTTAACTAACAGAGTTAAGGATACAGTAACGAAATGATCAAAATTGAATGATAATAATACTTTGAGGAATGATATAAAATATTTTAAAATTTAAGAACCAATCTAGAATGAGGTTATAGTTCGAATACTCGTATAGAGCATTTTTAAAGTTTATATACTAGCACGAACTCCAGTGACTTTAGTGATAAATGAATTATTATTATTTCTTAAGGTACCGGGTTCGAGCACTAAGAATGTCACGGGTACGAGCACTCAATGTTAAATGGTTGACAGTTATCTTTGAACATATATTATTTTGTACTTATCCCAGATTACTAAAAAAATAAAGTTTATATACTAATTTTAAATTAAGATCATAGTTTGGGGACCTCTTATGTAATTAACTCATTTTATACATTAATTAATTTTATAAATGATTAAATATGACCACGTAGCTCAATTATTATAGGATCACTTAAAAAAAGAATTATTACAAGGCAAGTTAGTGAAATCATGAACGCAAAGGCACACAGCTCATTGCCCTTTGAAGCATGCATTAGATTAGATGTTATGGACCCCATTTAAAAGCTAACTAAGCAAATCATTTCCAACACAATGTTACTGTGTCATTCATCATTGCTTATTTTCACCGTTTTTTCCATTATCATCTATACATATACTCCAAAATACTTAAATTTAGAGTTAAATTTATTTAAAATATATATTAATAGTAGTAAGTTTATATTTAATATTTTATGTTCTTTTTAAGGTTTATGATTATAAATTTTAAGATTAATATTTTGGAGTTTAAAGTTTAGAGTTATTTAAATATATTAAGAAGTGTTTAAATAGATATATTTGTAAAATTAAATTTAATTTAAAATTTCTTTATGAGTTAATTACATCACACATCTTCAGGCGATGATTCTTATTATTCTAAACTTTAGAATATTCTAATTTCATCCTCAAACTATAACTATTATTTTAAATTAGTCTATAAACTTTTGAATATTTCAATTTTATTCCTAGACTATGATCTTTATTCTAAATTTATTCCTAAACTTTTAAACATTTCAATTCTATCCCAAACTATATGTATATTCTAATCACATTCTTTGTTAATAAAATTATTAGGTCAAACTATATTATTATATGTTTGAACAAAATAAAATTTAGGTTAAATTATGGTTGAAACTAATTACATATTTGAATTAATTTTGGGATGAAATTGGAAGATTCAAAAGTTTAAAGATTAATTTAGAATGAGAGTCATAATTTTGCGATGAGATTGAAATGTTCAAAAGTTTAAGGACTAGTTTAGATTGAGAGTTATAGTTCGGTGATGAATTGGAATATCCAAAGATTTGATGACCAATTTGAAAGGGAATCATAGTTTGGGTATATTAATACAATTAACTCTTTATTTATTATTTTAAATATATTTTTCTCCCTCTCCCCAGCAATAAAAACCCCCTCGCCACCCTGTATTTCAATTCCCACAGTGTCGTCCCACCTCCGGAACAAAACCAAAACCCACTCCTTTGCGGCAATGGTGGTCTCAATAATCACTTTTGCTTTCGGCCTCGCCATTCTCTCAATCTCGGCTTTTGATTCCGCCCACCACCACGCGACGGCGCCATCACCGTCTTCCTCCACCACCCCCACCGTCGACTGCTCGACTCTGATCCTGAACATGGCGGATTGTTTGTCGTTCGTGTCGAGCGGGAGCGAGGTGTCGAAGCCGGAAGGAACTTGCTGTTCCGGGTTGAAAACCGTGCTGAAAACGGGCCCAGAGTGCTTATGTGAAGCTTTTAAGAGCAGTGCTTCTATGGGTGTCTCTCTGAATGTCACCAAAGCCTCCACTTTGCCCGCCGCTTGCAAAGTTTCTGCTCCTTCCGCCACTAACTGCGCCGGTGAGCGACTTTAGATTTAAAGGCTGTGTTTTTGCTACTTGTCTTATTGGGATCTACATTAGATTTGTTATCTGGTTTATAATGTGACAATTTCATGGGAATTTTTCAACTTTTAGTTCAGTCTGGAAAAGAAATGAAGCATCATTTTCATGCATTTCTTCATTTGAACAAGGGAAAAACAATAGATTTTGGGCTCTAGAACTGATGGATTAGGGCAATAATGTTGTTATTTTGTGTTTTGGCAGTGTCTGTCACTCCTGCTGGTGCTCCAGGTACATGCGCTCATGAATCTGATCCTTATCTTGACATAGATATATATATTGGGAGGGACTAAGAATTTTATGATAAGAGATGAATTTATAAAATTTGAGGAGGATAAAAGCATATTATCAATAGAAAAAAAAATTAAATTAGATGGGAATCTGAAAGTTTTAGAGGGTAGCGACCGCCCCCGCTAACTCTTTCGGGAGCGACTCGACCGCATATGTGTATGCATATGCGTACGTGTACATGTGATTGATTTCTCAAATTTTACTTTGGTTATGGTGAAATGAGCTATTTTAAGCAATAGATTTCATGTTTGAGACATGGTCCTAAAAGATCTTTGGATTTTAGCAAATAATGTCCTTTAGGCCCCATCCTTTATTCTGCATTAGTAATCTAATTTTATCCAATTCCTTGCCAAATAATGCAGATGTGCAACCATCAGCCACAGCAGGTGCACCCACAGCATCCTCAGAAAGCGCAAACGAGTTGGCACCAGCACCAGCCCCCGGCAGCTCAGGCTCTTCGGTGCTTTTGGTTTCAGCCGGATCTCTTGTCGTAGGCATTATAAGTACATTAGTCTCCGGCTACGTATTATGTTAAAATCGTTACGGATAATTCCGAGGGAAGCGGTATATCTATCAATATAGGGGAGTGAGAGACCATTTTGATGGTATGTTTGTGTTTTAGTTAGTTCCCTCTGTATTTTTTTTCATGGTTGTGGGTTACTTTGAAACCCTTATTGGATTTGGACCATTTGATTCCCATTTGTAACTCTTAATTTTACCCGCTGAATTGAACCCGGAAAGGGCATTTTCCCTAATCGTGTTACTGTTATTTCATATAACCCATTTAAACATGTTTTGATGTGTAACGATGGACAATTTCGTCAACCTCTCGGCTAAAATTCAAAAGGCGACTCGTTGAAATGACAAGATGGCCTACTACTTATCCTTGCTGCAAAAGCCATCCATCTTGGAGGAAGTTTGGGAGTAGGGATGGCAAACAGGTACAGTTTCGTGGATTTTGCATCGTATCTGTTCTAATTGGAGTGGAGATGGGTATAATTTTAGCGGGTAGTGGGCGAGTGTGGATTTATAAAGTAGTATCCGTCGTGGGTGGTGGGCGGGTAATGGGTTTGAGACATTACCCGCCCCGCATCCGCCCGCCCCACATCCGCCCACCAGCTAAATATCTATTAAATTTTGGACAATTATGAATTTAGGTGTAATTTTAAAGACTAATTTATAAATTTTAATATTGTATAATATATAACATATAATTTATCCAAATATTAAGGATATTTAGTCTTTAATCTGGTCTTTAATTAGGAAAATATTCGACTCTTTGATTAAACTCATAATCCCACTAACCACGTCACTTTTCATGTTCTTTAGCCATGCTGCTCATCCAAACACAAATTAGTCGTATTATAAGCATTAACATCAAAAGCATCAGTTTTCATGTTCTTTAGCCCCTCAAAAATATTAGGCGCACTATGAGCATTAACATCGAAAGCAACAAAACAATCCAGCTCTGCGACTACATGCTCCTTACAATCTGTCCCCATAACATTCATAGAGTTACTCCTCTGACAAATTGAAGCATGCGCTGCTACCCCATCACGAACTGTCTAGGAACCAACTCCAACATCCCATTAGTTTGCTGTCAGGCGGGTCTAGATGGGTATGTCGTAGTGGGTGTGGGGATGGATTTGAAAATGTACCCGCGTGGGCGGGTGTGGATTTGAAAATTTGTACCCATCATGGGTGGTGGGCGGGTGGTGGATTTAAAAATATTAGGCTGGTTTGGGGATGGGGGAGGGGGTATCCGCACCCGACCCGCCCATTTGACATCCCTATTTGGGAGTCTTAAATAATTATGTCGTACAATAATCTTAATATATTATTAAGGGAAAGAAAGATGTTATCAGAAAAGTTAATATTTTTTTAATATTTTTTATAAAAAATTACTTAAAATATTATTTTTTTACCTGAAATGTTAATGTTTTTTAACATTTTCGGTAAAGTGCACAATATTAATATTTTCGGTAGAAAAAATAATGTTTTAGATAGTATTTTATCGGATATGTTAAACATTTTCGGTATAAATAATAATATTTTAGGTAAGTTTTTACCAAAAATATTAAAAAAATAATAACATTTCTGATAACACCTTCCATTAACCGTATATTAATGTTGTCGCACATTAGACATTCGACTCATCAAAGGTAAAGTATTTAAGTAGTCTTTGAAATATTTTAAAATTTATTAAATTTTTAATTCATTTTTAATTATTACGATAATAACAAATGTTGTGACATATGATATATTGATTTTTTTAATAAATTAATATACTCTAAAAATATGATGACATAATTACTAATTCAAATAAAAAATAATCATAATTTTATAAAAAATAACATTTAAATTGAATTATAATTGAAATTAATTTAATTTTATTTATTTTATAAAAATATATTAATCAAAACATAAATTTCAAAATAATATATTATTACATTTTAACATTAATTACAATGTATTAATTTAAAAAATATTATTTATAATTAAAAGATTAATGAACAAAAAGTGTGTAAAGATAAACATATATTAGCTATAACATAAAATATAAAATACAATAAAATATATTTATAATATTAATTAGAATATATATTGATGTTTGAGTTTGAAATATTATATAATATAATATAAATACTATTTAAATTAAAGTATGATCAAACTCACTTGACTTATTTTTACTTATTTTCTGTAGCACCTAATGTTTTTCTTGACTGCTGCAGTTGGCAACCCTATAAAAATTACAAAAAGATTTCTCTACACGTATATAGGATAAAATGGGGATAAAAAATATGGAAAAGGGGAGGTAAGACCTGAGACAAATTATATTTTATATCCACAAATGGTGAGTGTTTTGTATTTTTGGCGGAAATGGGGTTATCTCGGACCGGATAGTTCGTCCGGAGGGATATGAGAAGTGGAGTCTGCAATGATCCAATCGGCATTCGGGTGGTGGTTATGGTTAACCTCTTGCCGGAACATCTCCTCCTGCCACTCTTCCCATCTTTCGGCTAACCCATCACCCTCCAACATCCTGACCACTTCGGCCATATTCGGTCGTTCCTTCGGGGTGCCTTGAGTGCATAAAAGAGCTACCTGGATTAGTTGTTCCACTTCGTGGTCGGCGTAATTGCCCTGAAGATCGGTATCGACCAGCGTTTCTAATTTCCTGTCTTTTAGAAGTCCTTTCACCTGAAATTTCAGCACGAGGGAGAAAAAAAATGAAAAACAAAAACCAATTGTTTCTTTACTTCTCGCATACCATTTGTTTTGAATCAAGGTACATTTCAAACAATGCGACCATCCGAAGCACATACTTGGAGTGCCCGTGTTCAAGTCTCGTGTTTGGGGCATATTTAGACATGGGTATAGAGATCAGGCTCATTCTTGTATCCGACACTCGTACACAAGTTCGAATAACATAGAATGGGATGGAACCTATCAAAAAAACTATTTCTACATTAAATGTTTCCCTCTTCACATTGTAGAAAAATCTTTCTTAATTTCCAACTCTTTCTATTTTTTGGCTTTTGCATTTTCACATTGCCGGAAAATAATATTACGCTTCCGTATTTAGTGTATTTCTTTTGGTCAACCAAGTAGAGCAATAGTTAAATAGTTCCAAGGCCATAGACAAGGATGATAAGTTAAACTTCGAAATGCATCATCGAGACAAGCGTGATAGGAAGACAGTACTCACCCAATCAAGCAACATGACATCATCATCATTTGCAAGCCGAGCAAGATCGAAAGCCCTCTGCCCTGTAATGAGCTCCAGAAGCATAACACCGTAACCAAAAACATCCGTTTTCTCTGATGACTTTCCAGTTGATAGGTATTCAGGAGCTATATGACCAATTGTGCCACGAACGGCAGTTGTGACATGAGTATCTTTGTAGTCCATCAGTTTGGCCAGCCCAAAGTCCCCGACAACCGCTTCGAATTCCTCATCCAACAATATATTCGCAGCCTTTACATCACGGTGTATAATCTTTGGGTCACAATGATCATGCAAATATGCAAGCCCCCTTGCAGCTCCCAATGCAATCCGTTTTCTTATAGCCCAGTCTAGTGGTGCCTGAGACTCCGGGCGTTCTAGAGAATGTATATATCAGATAAATAGATGGTCCATGAATTTCTCACAATTCTACTTAGATTCAAAGACAAACCGCATTCACCAAGAGGATGAATTTAAAAGTTTAAAAAAAATGTTATCATAAGAGATTCGGATATGTGAACAAGTAATTCAAAATATCATCTCAAACTGAAGAATCGATAGAGCTGATATTGACAATTGAAGATCACATAAGCTTAAACAATTTATGTCAGAAAGAAATCGGTAACCAGAAGAACATATATAAAACAAAAGGCACAAGTAATACAGACAGCACAAGCACAAACAGGGAAAATGTGACTAAAGAAATAAACAAGGAGACAACAGGCAGTACCTCGCAAACAGGATGCAACACTACCGTTAACCATAAAGGGATAGACTAGCAGCCGTTCTGTAGGGGTCATGCAAAAGCCACGAAGACGTAATAGATTCCGATGTACAGCCATACTTATCATTTCCACCTCTGTTTGGAACTGCAATTCTCCACCTTGAGTACGCTCCTCTTTCAGTCTTTTTACTGCCACTAGAGAACCATCAGCTAAGCGACCCTTATAAACTTTACCAAAGCCACCTCTACCTAGAATGTTTTTGTTGCTGAAATTATCCGTTGCCACTTGTAGTTCACGCAAAGAAAATCTTTTAAGTTGTCCTAAATGAACTTCTGGGTCCTCCTCAGCTGTAAAGAAAACTAGAAAATAAGTAAATGCATGCACATATTGAAATACAACCAATTAAACCCGTCTTTTGACAAATCACTAACCAGGGACATCAAAGAAATGATCTTCTGGTTTCCTTTTTCGCCACCAAGCAAGTACAATTGCAGGAGCAGCAAAAAGCAGGGCAGCGCCAGCAGCAACTCCTCCAGCAATAGCACCAGTGGCACTATTACCTGCAAGTATGAAAATAGATAAATCTAGATACTGTTAACACAACACACCTGTATCAAGAATATTCACAACCATTAACATTTTCATCTGATACCAACACCAATGAAGCGGGAAACATTTCAACTGAAATAACTTGTGGGGATCAGAGGAACAAATAATGTTCCAGCCCACCAAGGAACCTAAACCCATCCTTGGTACAATTATCATCAGAAATTAGATCTGAGCTCAAAGGCACCTTCTTAAAAAACAGATCCAGATATAAGGAAGCTGAGGATCAGCAATATACTCAGATCTACATTTCTTTGTATGTTACAAGGTACATGGTAATACCAAAAAATTGTGAATGCAAAGACCAAGGAATATTTCAGCTCCCACCAAAAAATATATACAAATACATTCAAAAAAGTAGCAAGCCCCAAAGTTAAGCACAATTAAAAGTTAATAAAATCAAGAAAAAGACCTGATGGAATTGGAGCTGTAGGTGTGATAGGAGGCGGTGGAGCAGGTGGAGGATTATTCAGTCGATTATTAGAAAAACTGAAAGAGAAAAAAAAATATGAAGAAAATCAAGAAGCTGGCCTGAGAATATAAATATGAAAAAACAGGAACAGGCAATTGAGATGACAGTCGGCAGTTAGGGTGAGAAAAATAAAATAGCATAAGAGAAAAACCTGATAGGAGTGAATAGTGAAAAGGAACCATTAACCGGAATATCTCCTTCTAGCTTATTGTTTGAAAGATCCCTGCATCACATAAGACAACATTCTACACCACTAATGTATTGTTCTTGAAGAAAAGGTTGAACAGAAAATGTGTGAATTTTGTTTTTATAAAAAATCTAACAGAAACACTCACAGCACTTGCAGTGACATAATAGTTGTTAAGGGCATAGGAATTTGTCCTGTCAACGTGTTGTTGTTGAGACGCCTACTCCACAGAATGAAAGCATCAAAACATTGCATATTGATTACATTCCTAGATACATAACTAATAAAACTCATGCTTAGTGAATAATTTCAGCACAGGTGTGTGTATGTGTCTGTGAGAGAGAGAGAGAGAGAAGCCAGCTACAAACAAACCATTTCAATAGTGCCCATATTAACCAAGTACCATTGGCTCGGCAGTGTACTACATAGAACATTTCTATAGTGCCCATATCAACCAAGCATCATTTCCACAGAAGCCTACCACAAAAAGAAACCATTTCTATAATGCTCATATAAATCAAGCACCATCGGCCCTGCAACTTTTTAGACTTAAAACTACATGAAACTCACATCAGTTGTGGATTCGAATTACAGCCCAGAGACATTTTGGACTCAACCAACATTATGCATATATTGAAGAGAAGAGGAAACACATGTATCTACAAAAATTATAAATAAGGACATACTTTTTTAGTAATAATACAATTTACAGATTCAGTTCAGCCAGCAATGTATCAACACATAAAAAAGCCTTCTAGATATACTAGAACATGTGACAAGAAAGCAAGAGCATGAAGAAATTTGGTAAATTAACTGCATAAGAATGTAAAATGAACTCATACAGGAATCGTAGTTTTTGAAGCTTGCCCAGAGTAGATGGAATGTGTCCTGATAAAGAATTCAAGTAAAGATCCAAGCTCACTAAATTTGTCAAATTCCCAAGATCCTCTGGGATTATCCCGGATATGTTATTACTATAAAGCTCCCTGTCATAAAAAAAATTGAGTTAGTAATTCTTCGGCAAAAGAAATTTATTATAAGCACGTAATCCAAGAATGTGTCTATGAAAAATGCAACCATATCCAGTGGAATACAACAATCTTCAAGATTAAGATCACATAACAGATATAACCAGTGTATAGTGACAAAAGCACAGAATATCAGTGTTGACAACTATTTCTACTTTTTCTAAGGCGAAGGATTGAATTTCACAGAGTAACTCCGGCATTCCAGACAGTTTTGATTATTTAGTTTTACATGGTTAGAAATTTAAGAACTATTCTGAATAAACTTATCCACTACAACTAAATCATGGAAACTCTAAATGTAATCCTAAACAATAAAAAAGATATCATGAACTAGTTGAAAGAGCTAGCCGGTGGTTTTCTCCTCCTTTATTTATTTACCTTTAACTGCTTTAGATAATTCTAAGAATGTGTGGCAGCAGGTAAGAAACGGGTTGTTTTTTGTTTTTCCTATTTAAAATATACAAGGTCTAAAATTGTCTACTTACAAATACTGCAAATTCGGAAGCTGTCCAAGATGTGGAACCAATTGACCAGTTAGATTCGCATTACCAAGATCCCTAAATCGAAAGGAAAAGTATTTACCATGTCATATTAGAGAACTCGAAAGTAACACAAATGCAGTAGAAAATGATCAATAAGTAAACTTACACTCTTGTTACACTATTTTCATTATTACAAGTAACATGAAACCATGTACAAGGATTAACAAGGGTTGCATCCCAACTTTGCAACACTTTATTAGGGTCAACCAATTGGTTCTTCAATGCAGTCAAAGCATCACCTGTTTAATACAAAAATAAAGCAACTGATTACTGGTGGCTGTGCGGCATCGTTCTTTGCAGTCACCAACCAACAAATATATATATATATATATACACTACAAAGAAATATATAAAGTGAACTAATAAATGTTCTTCCATTTGCAGCAACAGAGAGCAGTCAAAACAGAAAAACGGTAAAGAACATTTCATTTTGTAAACAGGAATTTTCATTGAATTAGGACGTAAATCATATCGAAAAAGCTTTAGCACAAACTGATCATTATGGAATCGTGCAAGTATCAGTACAGTCAAGTCAATTACTGCAGTGAAGCTGATTGAAATTCAAAACAAGCAGTCAACCTCGTGCCACTGCTAAACCAATTAAATAGCTACTAAATCAATTTAACGTGAATCCTATGCATTTAATTTAACAATAATTTGCGAAGTTCAAAAAGAAATTTTAAGCAGCAAAATAAAATGAAAAAAATAAAGAGAGAGGAAACGATCATGACGAACCTTCCGCATTTGCCGAAACTCTGAAAACTAAATCCAGCACCAAAATCAACCGTAAACAAGCGGAGATTAACCGCTCCTCCGTCGTTTTACTTTCGGCTATCTTTGATTCCATGAGCTAAATCCTCAAAATCCGTCATCAAACTCCCACTTTAGCGAATCGTGGAGCCATCAGTTCGGTCTAAAAACGAATATCCAGAGTCTAACACGTACTGATCGTTGACAGAATCAATAAACAAAAAGAGAGAGAGAGAGATAGAACTAAAAGAATACAATCAACTTCGAAAACACTCTGAGCTAAAACCAAAGTGGAAAAACGCAAATTAAAAATTCCAGAAAGTTCCTGGCTGTCTTTCTCTCACTGTCTCTCTCTTTGACTACAATAACTTAAGTACGCTATTGTTTCCGTATCTGTGTATTTTGGAATAAATTTGAGAGAAATTGGGAGAGGAAAATTTTGTGTTTGGCAAGAGGGAAAAGTGAAGCAAAAGAAAGAGTGGGGAAGAATTACTTTTATTTTATTTGTCAACTATGAAAAAGATGAGAGTATGAGTATTTGTTTTAATTTAATATTTTTGTCGTTGGGTTAGTCAAAAAGTTGTTCGATTAGTCACCACCTACCAATGTGTTTTTTATTATTATTAATAATATGAGATAAATACATAATATTATCTATTTAAAAATAATTTTAAATTATTTAATATTAAATATTAAACATTGATCTTGAAGAAGAATAATAATTCTTTTATTATCAAATCAATGAGATTCGTGCACCAATGTGTTTCTCGAATTTAATAAACAAAGAATGAAAATGAATTGCTCTAGATCATGTGAATTTCAAGTTGGGATATATATTTATAAAAACAAATATTTAGCAAATAATTATAAATAAAATAAATTTATAAAAAACATTAAATAATTCATACAAATTTGATTTTGTTATATTAATTGATATAATTTTTTATTAAACTAAGGTGATTAAAAGTAATATTTGTTTTAAATATTTTTAATTATTTGACAATGAACGTTAATTATTCTTGCAACATCGGGCTCTAACACATAACCTCTAAAAATAATAATTATTCTTTAAACCACTGAGATAATATGTTTAATGTATAATTAATCAGTGAACCACTAAATCAAACTCTTTAATATATAGTAAAATAGTATAGATTATGCATGTTGTTTTTTAGGGGGAAAATAACTTTTAGTCAATGTATTTAATATTTATTTCAAGTTGGTCATTGAATTTCTTTTAGTAAACTAATGGTTTAGTTATTCAAACATGTTTTTGTTTTGGTCATCTAATTATAATTTTTTAATTTAATCATTTAAAAAAAATTATTTGTAATATTTTCAAATTGTAGCATAAAAAATTACATTATGTATCTTTTATTTCTAAAATTAATCTAATTTTTTTGTTCCCTTTGGTCGAGATCCACGTCCACAACCATTTGACCATTGTTAGTGGTCGTTTGCAACATAATTGGCACCAAAATACTTTTTCTCCCTTATCTTTTATTTTCAGTTTGTTTTTTCATGAAATCCACAAAATTCAAACAAAACGGATATATTATTTTTCTTGATGCAATTTCGATAATTTACTTAGCTTGAAATTGAGATATTTTGTTCTCTTTTCGACGTTCCTCTGTTCAGATTTGAAATAAAATATTTTGATGCTAGTAAACCAAAAAAAGTAAAAACATGAGTTCGAGACTTCAAGAGGGGAAAGTTTTAGGGATGTTTGCATAAAATTACTAAAAATGTCCAATAATTTTGGACTAATTTTTAAACGACGTTAAAGAATTATAGATCGAGTGTCGTAAAAAATAAAAATAAAAGATTAATGATAAAAAATTGTTGAAAATTGGGTGACTGAACAAATAGATCGTCCAACCTTTTTTTTTAATCAGCATTGATCTTCAAACTTGGATCTTAACATTCCAAGATTGTCATATGTATGCCAATTATAACAAATTAAAGTAAAAACAATTTCTCAATTCTATAAAGTAGAAGGATGGAATTTGGAATTAAACTTTAATTAGTATAGATATTGGATAGTGTAGTATATGGGTAGTTCTGCGGTGTGGCGCCTAAAAAACGATTAATATATGGCGTGACCGGTTAAACAAGTGACCGGTTAAAATTTAGACCGGTTATGTTATATTATTTAACCGGAAATATTATAAAGTACAATAACATATTAGGTAGCGCTTATATAATGTAATAGATAGCGCTTATATTGACATATTTTATAAGTAAACCGGTATATTTATACCGATAACATTGTAAATTTACCTATTACATTATAATATGTTGAAAGTGTCCATACTTTTTTATAAAAAGGATCGATACTTTTTTTAAAGTTATGTAATTTATGTTTTAATTTTTTAATAGTGTTTCATGTTTTCCACCTACAATATTAATTTAATAATTTCATTTGCACAAAAAATTATTTGATTGTTTTGATATTTTATAAAATAATATTTAGAATTTAAATTTAACAATATTAACCAAAGATAATAATAAATATGTAATATATATGTTTATTGTTTTTAATTTAATAAAAATATATATCGTAACGTAAAAAATAAATCATTAGACGCCTATAATTACTAAATTAATATCTTAAAACTCACTCAAAAGATAACCTTAAATTAATGTTTTCACAGTGAAAAAGTATGGACACTTTTATAAAAAAGATAGATACTTTACAATATAAGCACTACCTATTACATTATATAAAAACTACCTATTACATTATATAAGCGCTACCTATTACATCATATTTTTACCTATTATATTGAAAGTATCCATACTTTTTATAAAAAGTATCGATACTTTTTTTAAAGTTATGTCATTTATGTTTCAATTTTTTTAATAGTGTTTCATGTTTTCCACCTACAATATTAATTTAATAATTTCATTTGCACAAAAAATTATTTGATTGTTTTGATATTTTATAAAATAATATTTAGAATTTAAATTTAACAATATTAACCAAAGATAATAATAAATATGTAATATATATGTTTATTAATTTTAATTTAATAATAATATATACCGTAACGTAAAACATAAATCATTAAACGCCTATAATTACTAAATTAATATCTTAAAACTCACTCAAAAGATAACCTTAAATTAATGTTTTCCACAGTGAAAAAAGTATGGACACTTTTATAAAAATGATAGATACTTTACAATATAAGCACTACCTATTACATTATATAAACGTTACCTATTACATTATATAAGCGCTACCTATTACATCATATTTTTACCTATTATATTGAAAGTGTCCATACTTTTTATAAAAAGGATCGATACTTTTTTTAAAGTTATGTAATTTATGTTTCAATTTTTTAATAGTGTTTCATGTTTTCCACCTACAATATTAATTTAATAATTTCATTTGCACAAAAAATATTTGATTGTTTTGATATTTTATAAAATAATATTTAGAATTTAAATTTAAAAATATTAACCAAAGATAATAATAAATATGTAATATATATGTTTATTGTTTTTAATTTAATGATAATATATACCATAACATAAAAAATAAATCATTAGATACACAAAGGTGCGAGTTTATGAATCTTCACTATCTATTGCACTGAAACACAAGAAAACATATTTAGATGTTGTTCGTGCAATTGAAGATGGAATTAGTAGAATGCGTATGAACGAGTTGAAAGCGGATTACTTAGGTTCCCATACGAAGCCCTTCCATATCACAAAACTGGTCGACCTTGAAAGCCATGCCGCTGCGATTTTTACCCGCGAATCTTTTCGTGTGTTCCAAGATGAACTTATACGGGAGACATTGTACCGGATTGAGGCAGAGATTAAGTCCTTATCAGATGGATGTCAACATTATATTTTGTCAAAGTACGCAGAAAAAAATAGGAAATTTGAAATTAATTTTGATTCTCGTACGAAAACTCTAATTTGCTCCTGCAAAAAATTCGAGACCGTTGGACTTCCGTGTCGCCATCAACTTCACATTTTGAAGCACTTGGACTACACATATTTGCCCGGGACTTTGATTCAAAGTAGGTGGACTAATGATGCGAAGGCTTCTGCACCCAGCTATGTTGATTTGAATGTGTCTCCAGAAGTGATGCAAATGGCAAGGTTCGCTGCTCTACGTTCAACGTCAAGTAGGTTATGCTACATTGCATCAAAGACAGACGAGTCTTTCAAAACCGCAAGAGATGAGATGAAAAAACTAATAGAAGAATTAGAAAACTCGTTTGGTTTGAATGATTCAGTCAACCAGAGCATTGTAGTAAACAATGTTCGTGACCCTCAACGAAAACAACGCAAGCGAAAAGAAATGCCGAAGAACAAGGTCGAGAAGAAAATTAGGCGATGTGGGTACTGCAACGGTGAGGGACATAACAAACTAACATGTCCTCAAGTCAAGCTCAGTTTGAGTACAAGCACACAACCTACATCAACTGATTTTTTCAAAGACGGAATGGAATGACAACGATCTCCATATATCGTAAGTACCAACATGACTCCTATTGTATGTACATATAAATATTTTGAATGAAGGAAGAAAAACCGCGTTACTTAAAATTACCGACACAATATTAAAAAGTGTCGATATAGGTTGTAGACCTATTCGCTCATAAAACCGGTATATTTATACCGGTTATATTACAAAATTATCTATTACATTATAATTCTGGGTTCCGATGTGTAAATGTCGACACTTTTTGACAAGGTATCGACACATTTTTCTTCCAATCTGGACATAAAGTACCGACACAATATTAAAAAGTGTCGATATAGGTTGTAGACCTATTCGCTCATAAAACCGGTATATTTATACCGGTTATATTACAAAATTATCTATTACATTATAATTCTGGGTTCCGATGTGTAAATGTCGACACTTTTTGACAATGTATCGACACATTTTTCTTCCAATCTGGACATAAAGTACCGTCACAATATTAAAAAGTGTCGATATAGGTTGTAGACCTATTCGCTCATAAAATTGGTATATTTATACCGGTTATATTATAAAATTATCTATTATTATAATTCTGGGTTCCGATGTGTAAATGTCGACACTTTTTGACAAGGTATCGACACATTTTTCTTCCAATCTGGACATAAAGTACCGACACAATATTAAAAAGTGTCGATATAGATTATAGACCTATTCGCTCATAAAACCGGTATATTTATACCGGTTATATTACAAAATTATCTATTACATTATAATTATGGGTTCCGATGTTTTT